AGTTCCTCGTTAGCAAGCGTCAAGGGGCCATCGAGTGGCTGGTGGTCCTGCAGCAATAGTTTGCACTTTTAAGGTGCGAAGCGCATACCAAATGATGGGACCACTCTGGATAGGCTATTCAGGGTTGATTGTGCCGCCTCAACATTGTCAAAAAGCAAGACGATATCGTCCGCATAATCTAGATCAACTAACCGTTCACCAGGCAGCACTTCAACACCTACATCGTGAGATTCCTCAAGTGAACACTCCATGATAGAATCCACGACGAAATTGAACAAAAATGGGGAAATCGGGCAACCCTGTCGAACGCCACTTGTAGTCGAAAAGCTATCCGATAGGGCACCATAGACCCTGACGCCGCCTCTAGTGTTCGAGTATAGAGCACGAAGGATGTTCACATATTTCGTGGGAACACCTTTCCGCGCAAGTATTTCGAACAGAATCGATCGATCGACTGAATCGAACGCACACTTGAAATCGAGGAACACAGCTATTGTCGGTCTGCGGTATGCGTGGCGCTGCTCTAGCACCTGCCGCAAAGTAAATATATGGTCTATACAGCCACGTCCTGGGCGAAAACCGGCCTGCTCTTCTCTAATCCGAGATTCCCGTTCTGCAGTGAGGCGACGAACGATAATCGAGGCCAGTAATTTTGTCACAACTGGCGTTAGGCTAATACCCCTGTGGTTCGCACAGTCTGTGCGACTGCCCTTCTTGTATATTGCCACTATAATCGATTCGCTCCAAGTAGCTGGCACACTCTCTTCGTTCCAGATACGTTCGAATAGGGAGGTCAGTGCTTTGCAGAGGACCTCACCACCATCCTTAAATAGTGCAGGTGGGAGGGAATCCGGGCCAGCGGCGCGAAAACGATTGAGGGCTGTGATCGTGTTTTGGACTTCGGCCTCCGACGGAGGCTCTAAACTAACCGTCCATGGCTCGTCCTGCATCACCTGAGTAGGAAGAGGTCCGGGAGCAGGGGGCCAGCTGAACTGATCTTGAAAATGTTCCACCCAACGAGCCATACGGCGCTCCTTATTGTGTATCAGCGCACCCGCGCTGTCCCTGATTGTCTCACTGACGCCTGGTTTTCTCGGACCAGTGGTGCGTATTAGCTGGAAGAGCTTCCGGTAATTGCCTACTGCTCCTGCCTCCTCCATTTCTTGAGCCCAACTGGTCCACCAGGCTTCCTTGTCAGCACGTAGGCTCCGCTTTAGTTCACGCCTAATAGCCCGTCTGGTCACATTGTGTTCAGAACCAGCCGGGAGGTGCCTTCTAACTTCCAAAACGTTCACGGACCTCTCGGATATCCAGTGACTGGTGCGATGACGACTGATAGTGCCACAAGCAGATGCTCCTGCGTCGTGCATAGTGGCCGAGATCCTATTCCACTGAAGTTCAGTATCATTAGGACAAGACAGCGAGAGTTCGCTATGCAGTGCTTCTTGATAGGCTTGCCTGACAGAGGGCTGGGACAATTTCTCCGTTGCCAATCGGAGGAGACGCTTTGTGCGCCTCCCGGTAAAGTTCATGGAGAAACGACAGCGCACCAAGGCATGGTCAGAGTCGACACAGGTACTCCAGTACGAGCGGCAATCCAGTATGGAACCGCGCCACCTGTAACTTATGGCTATGTGGTCAATTTGGGTCCATTGCTGACCAGCTACAGGTGGACGCCAAGTGGCACTTCGGCGCCCACTGTGTCTAAAAGCAGTGCTAGTAAGAAACAACTGGTGCTCCGCACACAGTTGCAGCAGACGCTGGCCGTTGTCAGTCCGTTCGGAGTTAAGTCCATACTTACCACCCAGCTGAGCTTCTGAAGAGCTCAGACGCCCTACTTGTGCGTTCATATCCCCTGCAAGTACTATAATATCTGAACTAGTAGCACTGCGTAGCAGCGTGTTCAGTTCGTGATAGAAAGTGTCCTTGACTGCATTAGAACTGCAGTCCGTGGAAGCATAAGCAGAAATCACAAACAAACAGCGTTTTGTTTTACTTCGCGAATTCACCTTAGCTGATGTCGTCAAACGGGCTGCACATAAACGGCTGTTCACCGGAATCCAATCAACCAACGATAACTCAGCCTTGGAGCTTAGAATGATACCTACACCAGCTTGACCCGTGAGTGCCGCATCGGCGTCTCCGGATGCGTGCAACCAATAACGAGAGGATAAGCCGGGTGCAGTCAATTCAATAACCCCGTTAGGGTCATTAATCCTGGTTTCGGACACACAACACACATCAACACCCAGTGTGTCCAAGGTGCGTGCGAGTGCAGCCTGCTGACCTGTTTGTCTTAGAGTGCGGACGTTGAATGTCGCCATGGAAACGGGACAGCGTGGCCTTATAAGAGACTTTTGCCGATAGGCGTCCGATAGGTGCTGTGGGATGGTGGCTGCAGATGGTTCTACTCCAGTAGCACTTCGGTTGCTGTCAATTAAGCTGGGAATTATAGAAGGAAGGTTAGTAATGGGGGTCGGGATGGGAGTAAGAGAAAAAGGTGGAAAAGAAAGAAGGGAGGCGCCAGCAGTAGCATGCTTTCGCTTATCCGCCCTGCTGTATGCAGCAGATAAGGCGACCCTTGATAATCTGCGCGACGGCCGATGCAGAATGAAGTTTATGTTTGAAGAAAATGTCATGGTTGTATGTGGGCTGGGATACTGCCAGGGCGCCCAGACCTAGACAGGAGAACGATTAGGGTCCTCATCCAAAGCCTTTGGCTCAAAAGCCTGTCCGCAAGGCAGCGGGGTGGCAGTGATTTAGTTTTACAGAAATGGACGCCATCCCATTTCAAACCCCCAACCTGGAGGACCAGGAGACTGAGTTTGTCTGACCTCTCACCATTGACCAACCTGGTAGGAGTAGCTCTCAAGATGCTCGGAGGCATCACCCAGTATAGCTCAATGGGTCAATGAGGTACGCAAACCGTCGCACCACGTTAAGGTCCAGTCTCGTTGCGACGGCATTAGAGATATTGAAGGGTGGCGACAGCTTGCCGTAAGTCCTCACTCTGCCCGTGCTACGCGCATATAATGCTTGGATAATTTTTCTCGGGCACACCTTTCCTGAGTAAACCATTCCAAAGGGCACATCGATCAACCGAATCGATGGCACCTTTGATGTCGAGGAACACGACTACGGTGAGCCGCCAATATGTGTGACGGTGCTCCAACAACTGACGCAAAGTGAAGATGTGGTCGATGCAGCCACGACCCCGACGAAACCCGGCTTGCTCCTCACGAATCTGACTTTCACGAGCGCCAGTCAGTCTGTGAAGAATTATGGAGGCGATGGAGATCAGACTGATTTCTCTATGGTTGCCGCATTCCGAACGCGAGCCTCCTTCGAAGATGGGAACAATAACGGAGCGGCTCCAGTCGGTTGGGACAGTCTCCTGCTCCCACAGTTTCACTAGTAATTCATGTAAAGCATCAACAAGAGCAGAGCCTCCGAATTTGAAGAGGGCTGGAGGAAGATCATCTGGTCCTACGGCTTTGTTCAACTTCAACAGTCCGATCTCACGTTCGACTTCTGAGCGAGAGGGCGGATCCAAAGGGACAGCCTACGGAGCAGGGCGATCATAGGCCGGCGAGAAATTTAACAATTCCGACCGATTAAATTGCCTTTCGAAGTGCTCTATCCAACGCTAAAGCGTTCTGACAAATTGTGGATAGGCTGTCCACTCGCGTCACAAATTGTTTCACTAACACCAGGTCTCCTGCTGCCTGTTTCCCGTATCAGACGGAATAACTTACGATGGTTGCCAAGGGCAGCGGCCACTGCCATCTGACGCACGAGGAGACCACCAAGATTCGCGATCTCTCTTTAGGCTAGCACGGAGTCTTGCCCGGAGCTCTTTGCGAGTTTCATTGTGTTCGCTTCCAGCCGGGATATGCCGGCGAGCGTCGATAAGTTCCAGAGAACGCGAAGAGACCCAATATCCATGTTGGCTATTAGACATACCACATGAGGATTTGCCTGCTGCTAGTAAGGTCTGGTGAACATGCGACCAGTGACCATCATTTGTCTCCAATGAGCGCTTACTCAACTCGCATGTCAGCGTACTTCGATACACATTCAGAACAGCTGGCTTCGCCAGTTGGCTGGTGTCAATGCGCTCACAGCGTCGTCGTGGGCGTCCGCCAAAACGCATTCGCATGTCAGCACATACAAGTGCATGATCGGTGTCCACATATGTGCTCCAAATCGAGCGACAGTTCTGGATGCAGTCTCTCCAGCGGTAACTAATAGCAATGTGATCGATCTGCGTCCAAGGCTGGTGGGCGCCAAGTCACCCTCCGGCGAGTGCTGCGTCGGAAGTTGTTATTCGCAAGAAATAAGCGGGAATCTACACACAAATGAAGTAACTGCTTACCGTTATCATTACGGCAGCCTACACCGTGCTGACCACCCAGATGCATTTCATCAGTGGACAACTTTCCAATTTGTGCGTTCAGATCCCCCGCCAGCACAACAGTGTCCGTGCTTCTTCTGTGGCGAAGGAGCTGGGTCAGTTGGCAAAAGGGTAAAACCGGGTATAAAACGGGTTGGTTATCAGAAAAACTGAAAACGTTACTAGCAAGCGCCAAAGGAACACTTGGCACAAGACCACCGTAATCGATTCAAACTGCCTTGGATCAAAGAGAATTTGACAATAGCCGAATGTCTTTCCAATTGTTTCATCAAATGGTTTTCCAAAATATTTCAGCTTAAAACACTCAGTAAGTACGGCACGCCAAAAATTCGATAAAAGCATGTACGGGTGTTGGTCGTGAACGAAAAAAGGTAAAGAGAAGTTCTAATTCAATTTGGGACGAGAACAGTAGGAAAATCCAATTATTGCTATTTCCTGGGTGCGTCATTCATCCAGGACAGAGTTTGTAGAAAAAGTTTGAAAGCACGGAGAGCCAACTAACTACACTCGCATCAGAACATCATTATACATATTAGCTAGAGGTGGGAAACACCTTAGCTACTGTGCCGCAAAATATAAAAGAAGAAAGGGAAAATGCAACAGATACAAGCCAGCTGAGCTACCGGTAACGGATGGGCATCGTTCCGGTAAGCTATCAGCCGGCAACTATGCAAAATTATATAAGGATAAGTAGTGAGATCGTGGTTGGAAAGGAAGGCTAAGAGGGAGGAGGAGCGACAAATGAACTCAGCACGAACACCACTGAGGTCTGCTCCTAGCCACGTCACTAAATGCATCCAGCCAAACGTGTTCACCGTCCTTCGGACTCCAATCAGGGAGCTGAGACGCTCCAACCCAGGACAGCTCCGAAGTGAAAACCTTCATTCCTCTCAACCAAGTCATCGCTTGGCCACCCCTCCTATTCTTCCATCCACACCCCCGGCGCGCAAACAACGCACGTCGCAGGAGTCGGTGGGCCGGCACGCGTAACACGTGGCCGAGCCATAGGAGGCCGGTGCGTGAAATGACGGTGCTGAAGGGTTTATCCCTTTTCCTGTGCCGTAAACAAGGCGTCGAACACGCTCGTTACTCATTCGGTGTTCCCACCAGATGTGAGCCAAACTGCGAAGGCACCGATGGTCGAATGTAACTAGCCTCTTCATGTCTGCTGATCTTAGGGGCCAGGTTTCGCAACCGTACAGTAAGGTCGAACGTACCGTTGGATTGTACACCCTACCCTTCAAGGCCACAGTGATGTCGCGCCGACGCCATAAGTGGCGAAGGTTAGCAAAAACACTTCAAGCTTTTGCTATACGGTTCGTGATCTCATCTTCAATCCTACGGGCACTGATACAACTTCCTAGGTAGTTGATTTTCTGAACGACTTCTAGCTGATCCCCACCAAGGGTCAGTGCAGCAGGCGATCCCTGCCAATCTTGGAGGAACGCTTTGCATTTGACGGTGCAAAGCAAAGCCCGAAGCGGCTGACAGCCAGTGCTAATCTGTCCAGCGCGGCTTGGCACGTCTGGGAGCTGTCACAGATGAGAGCAATGGTGTCTGCACACTCCAAGTCAAGAAATCGTTCTCTTGGGAGTAGCTCCACACCTTCCAAGTCACGTCCTGTAAATGCAATCTCCATGGCTTCGTCAATAGCGAAGTTGAAGAGGAAAGGTGACAGCGGGCATCCTTGTCTCACACCGCTGGAGATATTCAAGGGCGACGACAGCTTGCCGTAAGCCCTCACTCTGCCTGACCTACGCGCGTATAATGCTCGGATAATATTTACATGTTTTTCAGGTACAGCTTACCTGAGTAGACAATCCAGAAGTGCACGTCTATCCACCGAATTGAATGCACCTTTGATATCGAGGAACGAGACAACGGTTGGCCGCCAATATGTGTGACGGTGCTCCAACAACTGACGCGAAGTGAAGATGTGGTCAATGCAGCCACGACCTCAACGAAACCCGACTTGCTCCTCACGAATATGGCTTTCACAAGTGTCAGTCAGTCTGTGAAGGAGTATAGAGGCGAGTAATTTGGAGGCGATGGAGATCAGACTGGTTCCTCTATGGTTGCCGCATTCGGATCTTGAACCTCCCTTGAAAGTTGAGACTATGACGGAACAGCTAAAGTCGGTTGGGACAGTTTCCTGTTCCCACAGTTTCACTAGTAACTCATATAAACCATGCACCAGAGCTGGTCCCCTGAATTTGAAGAGGATTAGAGGTAGATCTTCTGGTCCCGCGGCTTTATTTAACTCCAACAGTGCGATCTCACGTTCCACTTTTTAGCGGGAGGGTGGATTCGAATGGATAGTCCAGGGAGCAGGGCGATCACTGGCCGGCGAGAAATTTAACAATTCCGACCGATTAAATTGCCTTTCAAGTGCCCAGCCCAACGCTTTAACCGTTTTGACAAGTTGTGGACAAGCTGTCCACTCTCGTCCCAAATTGTTTCACTAACAGCAGGTCTTCTGCTGCGTTTCCCGTATCGGCCAGATTAACTTACGATGGTTCCCGAGGGCGGCGGCCATTTCCATCTCTGATGCGCGATGAGATCACCAGGATTCGCGGTCTATCAGGATGTCACGGAATTTTGCCCGGAGCTCTTTGCGCGAACGCTCCTCGCTACGACGCGCACTACGCTCGGCAGCTAACCACGAGCATGCGCTGCAATAAATGGACCGCAGTACGGAAACAGCGTCGCAAGTTTTACGTTCGCAAAGATCTACACCACTGCCCATTTGTCTTCATTCGCATTGATGGTTTACGCAGACGACTCGAACGGCCTTCCGAAGGTCCATTCAGGGTCCTACAACGTAAGGATCGCTTCTTCGCCATCGAACGCAGCGACAAGCGCGAAACCGTCTCAAAGTTGCTTACGTCGAACGACGACTGCAGTCCATCTTCCGATGAACTGATCCAACCAATGGTGAAGGAAACGCCTACGGACAGCAACACCACAACCGAAAACCCGCCTCCTGTGTCTTCCGACTCCGCCAGACCTAAATAGTTCACTAGGTCTGGTCGTCGGGTTCACTGGCTGACGTTTCTTAGGACGTTAGCTTAGCATGTTTGCTTCTAACAGCGTTTCCAGGTTACCATTCGCGTCAGTTCCCTCCGAAAATCGCAAAAGACGCAAAATATTTTGAAAACCCAAAAAAACAGCGCGAAAGATTTCGAAAACCGGAAGAAAAAACGGAGAAAAAGTTTTGAAAACCGATAAAAAGTTGTTTCCTTAATTTTTCGCTGCCTACTCGTCCATTGTTGTCGCTTCTTTTGCATGTCTG